TTTTCCCAGTCTGTAGGTTGTCCTTTGACTCTTTTGGTGAAGTCTTTTGATGAGCATATGTGTTTGATTTTAGTTTCTCTTCTGGGTGTTTGTGCATTGTTACTTATGGTTTGTATTCTGTTTATAAGGCTGTAATGTTTATAAGAGCAGATCTCCAGGTCTTTCTTCTGCAGAGCTGCTGGGTATGTTTACACTGCTAACCTTTTGGTTAGCAGCCGAGCACTTAACCCTTGTGCCACCAGGGTTCCCTAATAACAAAAGTAGCTGTCATTTACTGAGCAATTACTAAATGCCAGTCTGTGTGATGAGTGCTGCATCAGTCAGGGCTCTTGGTGGCAGGCAACAGGAACTCTCCGTGTCTGATCTGAGTAGAAAAATGAATTTGCCAAAAGGAAATGGGGAAGCACATAGAATTACAGGAGGGGGCTAGAGAACCAGGCATGCGGTGGAAACGAGGTTGCAGAAATGGTCCAAGGAGGCTGCCACTAAGGATGTGCAGGGCTTGGGCTCTGGATTCATCCACTAGCTCTGTGGTCTCTGCAGCCTCAGGAACTTGATCTTGCCATCACCAGCACCAGACAGAGGTCTTCTTGATCCCTATTTTTTTGTGCCACTAGCTCCAGATTCTAAGTCTTGAATGGAGGCTTCCATTTGATAGAGCCCAGAGCCCTGGTGGTGCAACTGTTAAGTTCTTGGTGGCTAACCAAAAGGTTGGCCATTTGCACCCACCCAGAAGCTCCATGGGAGAAAGGCCTGACGTTCTACTCCTGTAAAGATTGCAACCTAGAAAACCCTACGGACAGTTATACTCTGTTACATGGGCCGCTATGAGTCGAAATCGACTCAACAGTACCTAACAACAACAATAGCAACAACAATAACAGTCATACGTCTCAGCTGCGAAGAATGCTGGTAATCTATTTGACATTTTTGACTTCAGTAATGGGAGGCCTGCCCACCATCAAGACCCATAGGAAGAGGAATTCCAGAAACTACAGGAAGGCGTTGAGGTGGCTGAGCAGCTCACAGCATGTCTGCTCCTCTGACTACCCAATGAGGTAGGTATTCTTATCCCCACTTATAAACAATGAAAATGAGGTACAGAGAGGTTAAGGAACTTACCCAGGGTCACACAACTATTAAATGGTAGACCTTAGATTCAAACATCTGGACTGTCTGACTCCAGAATGTACACTCTCAGCTACTGCTCTTTGCCTTCATTGGATGTTGACAAAATGGAATTTATAGGGTCACTAAGCCATGGGTTTCAGACCCTGGACTGTGGTGACCTAAAGAGAGACTTCCCTCTGGGAGTGGGGTGGCTGAGCAGCAAGCTGGCCTCTCAAGACTCCATCTCATCCCTCTCTGACTGTGATAGCGCTGTCCAACATGCAAAGTGCCCTGCAGGGGGCTTCTGGGGATGGGAGTGAACAGAACCCACCTCAGAGTTCCTGTCGGGGTTCTGATGGAGTTGTTTCCTGATTCCTGCTTCTGTGTCCTTGAGTCAGTGGAGACGGGAAAGATATCTCCATTCACTGACTCAAGATGGGACATATCCTATCTTGTTTTCCTCCCCCTTCCCAATGTGCCTACTGTTAACTTTAGTTATGAAAGCAATAACACTGTCCTGTGCATATGCTGAGGTCATTCCACTTCCACCCCTTTGCTCACGCTGTTCCTTCTACTGGAATGCCCCCATTTCCTTCCCTTTTATTCACAACCTATCCATCCAGAGAAGAACCAGATCCTTGTTTTTATGGAGTGTTCCTGCTCTCTTCTACAGTTGGGCTACCTGTGAATTGACAGAGAGAGCTTCCCAGCTTGGGTCTTAACCCTAACTCTTCTCTTGTTTTATCTGGATTTGTTTTATCTTACCAATTAGGTTGGAAGCCAATTGAGGGTAAGGACTGTACTTCACCCAGACTTTGTCCTCGCCCATAAAAATGCATAGTTTTTATTACAGTATTATTATTTTTATTGTGGTAGACATATATATAACAAAACATTTGCCATTTCAACAGACAGCATAGTTATTGAAACACAACAGGTAGGCATGTGGAAGGGGAGAGAAGTTTGGTACCAGAGAGAACTGGATTTGGATCCCAACTCTTCTAGTTACTTGAACAATTTAACTAACCATTGATTTAAAAATATTTATTGAGGGCCTACTATGTGCCAGGCACTGTACTAGGCACTAGGAATACAACGGTGAGTAAACGGACTTGGTCTCTGCCATCACGGAGCTGATAGTCTAGGGAAGAAGATAGATATTAACCCATTAACCAGATAATCTCACAAAACAAGGTGAAACGATTACCTGCAGCTAGCACTGTGAAGGACTAGCTCGTGCAGCTGAGAGGGCCCATAGGAGGAGTTGGTCCAGTGGGTTGGGAGTGGGTCAGAAGACACACTGAGCTTTAGTCTCTTCACTTGATAAATGGAGATATCACCCACCCAGCTCACTGGGTTGTTTTAGGGTTAAACATTCCTTAAATGTTTTAAGGGGGTGGGCAGTGGTGGTTCCATGGTAGAATTCTCACTTTCCATGTGGAAGACCTGGTTTGATCCTTAGCCAATGCACCTCATGTGCAGTCACCACCCATCTGTCAGGGGAGGCTTGCATGTTGCTATGATGCTGAACAGGTTTCAGCAGCGCTTCCAGACTAAAATGGATTAGGAAGAAGGGTCTGGTGATCTACTTCTAAAACCAGCCAATGAAAAGTCTTCAGAGGCACCAGAGAAAATCCTATGGATCACAATGGTTCAATCCACAATTGATCATGGTGATGGCCCAGGACCAGGCAGCATTTTGTTCTGTTGTACATCAGGCCTCCATGAGTCAGGGGTTGACCCAAAGGCAGCTAACAACACCAACAACAAATATTTTAAGGAATAGATGCAATGCACAACATTTAAAAGATGTGCAGTAAATCTTACCAAAATGAAGGCTGGTAGGTTAGCCAACTCAGTGCTTAATTTCTGAAGGAGAGTGGAGTTAGGCACATGTGACACTTCCTGTGCCTGGGGATCTCCAGACCATGTTCCATCAGAGTCAGCTGGGAAGGTTTTAAAAAAGGCAGACATCTGCTCCTCCACCCTACATCTACAAGCCAATCAGACCAAGCTGGGGTCTGAGCACACGTATTTTAAAAATCTTTAATAATAAGGCCTATTCCAAAATTAGAGTTAGCACACATTTATCCTAACCACTGAAGCAATGCAAAGTTCTGTAAAGTAGGCAAACAACAATCTCCCCCTGCCCCCCAGCTCATGGAAGTCACCCAGGTCGACAGGCTGGTGGGTATCCTTTTCAGCCTTCCAGCCCTGTGGTCATATAAAGTAAACTCAAGGTAAGCATGGAGGTAGGATTGTTTTTTCCTTGCAAAACTAATATCTTATTAAATGTTTTGTCACTTCACGATATAGCAGTCACATCTCTTCAGGTTAATAGATATAGGTCCAGTTCTTTTAATGTCATTGCTCCTTGCGGCTGAGTCAGCTCTGATCATGGCGACCTTATGTACAACCAAATGAAACGTTGCCTGGTCTTGTGCCATCTCCATGATCTTTGATGTTCTTGAGCCCATTGTTGAGCCTACCTTCTTTTAATAACCGCATTATATTCCCTGGAAAAAATGGGCCACATTTTATTCAATGTCCTGTCGATGGGTATCCAGGTTATTTTCATGTGGACAAACAGTGAAGCAACAAATAACTTTGTCAAAGCATTATTACTTATAGGTGTTTTATGCCCAAAGGATAGTCTCCAAAGACTGAAATAAGTCAAATGAGACGTACATTTTTAATTTAATAGATATTTACAGATTTATTCTCAAAATGGCTGAGGCCATGCATGTTCCCACCAGTAAAGCAGGTGCATTTTCGAAAAGCTCCCTAGGAAATGCTGATGTGGAGGTCTGGTTAAGAACCACCGGCCTGGAGCAGTCCCAAGATGGCCCCGGGCTCTCTGAAAGGGGTGTTGGAAGAGAATCTGGCAGCCAGTGAGCGATGGGCTCCACCAGGGAAGTGAAGAAACTGTTCTTATCAGCCCTCCCTCAGTCTCCCTCAGGCTTGGGCAAACCCTCTTTCCCTAGGGGAACTTCCTCCAAGGCCCCTATATAAAATGTCCCTGTGGAATGAGTGAGGGAGGACCCAAGCTTTGGGAATTCCTAAGGACCATGCAGGCTTCCGGGCGGGTGAGTAGTTTCCTTTCTGCAGTCAGCTGACTCCGATGAATTCTTCACCTCTTCGGAGGACTGGCTGGGACTGTGTGTGGCTTTCAGGTTGTGGTGTGGCAGTGGGGGCAGGATGTCTTGTCTTCTGCCTTTCACATTTCTTCTGAGATGTGTGAAAGCTGGCCTTGCCTGGGGAAGACAGAGGGTGAAGGACATGGGTGTGTGTGGTTTTTTTCGAAGTTTGAGAAGGGGACACACTTTCTACATGCTGTGTGTTCAGGGGCAGGTTAATCAGTAAGCACGGTATGCGCCGGCTTACAGCAAGCAAGGTGCACACAGGCTTACATGTGCTTCCTTACTAATCTGTAGTGCACAGTTTCACATGAGTTTCACCATGTCTTTGCACAAGTAAGCCCGTGCGTGCCTTGCTTCATGGGTAGTCTGTTCCCTGTGTATGTTTCTAGGAAGGCCAACCATCGTTTCTTGATCTGTCTTGCTTTATAGACTCTAAGAGGCCAGTAAGTACGAACTGATAAACATAATGCTCTATTCTTCACTTCCAGGCCCCTGAAAAGCCAACCTTGGCTGCCCCTGTGGTCTGCTTCATTCTACTCAGAAAAAGGTCCCGGGGACCTGGAGGGTCAGGGGCTGGGCTCCACATTAGCTTTCTTGGCCCATCCTGACTTCTGTTTATGCATTCTCTTTCTCCACTTCCCTCCCAAGGCTCCCTATTGGTGTGACTGTGGGCTGTGTGTGTGTGTGTGTGTGTGTGTGTGTGTGTGTGTGTGTGGTAAACTGTGTTCTTCACTGCAGGACAAAACCAAGATGAAACTCCTTCTACTCCTGGCTCTTCTCTTTGGGGCAGTTTCTGCTCTTCATCTGAGTAAGTCTCCTTTGCTCTCTCTGTTTTGCTCCTTTCTATAGTAGATGGGGTCAGAGTCACACACCCACCTCCATCTCAGGCCATCCCCTATTTCAGGGTCCCTGCACACTTAAAGCAGCAGGGACTCTATAGTTGGGAGTTGAAGGGATTCTTCTGAGTCTTGGTTCTCGAGTGACATTACCAATTTTGTCCTTTCCATATAATGCTAGTGATGACACCATAGTAGCTTCCTTTAGCTTTGAGCTTACTGAGTGCACTGTGCTGAGTATTTTCTATGCATTATCTCCTGTAATTGTCATAGCATCCCTATGAGGTAGCTAGTATTGTACACCCATTTCATAAATGAAGAAACGAAGCTAGTAGATGATGCAACCAGTACTCAAACTCACAGCTACCTGACTCAAAGTCCTTGCTTTAAACCACCATGACCTCATGTGGGAGATTGGGTTCTAGTGGAGACCGAGTTCAAGGTTCCTCTCTTTGCAGAGTTGAGTTCTGTGATGCCTAGGGCAAGGCGGGAGCTGTCCATGGTTCTGGGGAGGATCAGGGGAAGATGTGAAGCAGGGAAGAGAAGGAAGGACCTTGGTCTTTCTCCCTGCAGGGACTGAAACTTCCAAATTTGAGAGCCTCTTGGGAGATAAGACCTTGCCTCAGGATGGGGAGATGCCTGAACAGGAAGCAGATAAGTCTCCTACCAGAGAGCTGGCACTGCAGGAGGAAGAGGAGGAAAGGGGTTCCGGAAGTGAAGATTTCCCTCAGGAAGAAGAGCCCGTGGAGTTGGTCTCAGCCCTGGCTGAGGTGGACAATGACTTTCAGTGCCCTAAGGAAGAGGACACAGTAAAACTGGTGGGCAGCCCTGGATGCAAGGCCTGCCGCTTCCTCCTGGTGAGGTCCCCCAGGAATTTCAATCATGCTCAGGTGAGTGGCTTGCGGCTGAGGCTGAGAACTGGGGGCAGGGGAGAGGGCTATGCCTCCAGCCTTCATATCACTGGTGATTTTCCACATTGAGGGCCTGGGGGTGTCATCAGAGGCTGAGGCCTGCAGAAGTGTTGGGAGTAAGAGGTGAGGGCCACATGGAAGCAGAAGTTGCATTTGGTCTTCAGCCTTCAATGGCCATGGGCATGGATTTTGGAGACTTAAAGACTTGGGACTAAGGTCACATTAATTCCTGTGTGTAGGTCCACCCCATTCTTTCTCTTTTATCCTGTCCTGCAGATTATTTGCCAGAGGTGCTACCGGGGCAACCTTGTCTCCATCCACAGTTACAGCTTTAACTACCAAATCCACTGCTACATCAGAAGGCTCAACCAAGGCCAAGTCTGGATTGGAGGCAGAGTCACCGGCTTGGTAAATGGGGTCCCCGCTTTAAGTAGGGGTGCCTCCTAACCCCAGCCAGTGCTCAGTTTGGTGCAGATTTGTCTGTGGAGACCCTCTGCTGTTGCTCCCCCCGGGATTCCCTGAAGAACTGGGGTGATGATAGATGGGCACCTGGGTGAGACTCCGAAGGGGCAGGCTGGGCATTGGGAAGGGCTAAGGATCTAGAGTTAGGAGGTTTGGATTCAAGTCCTGCTCTACATCTGACTGTCATGTGGGCAAGATATGAGCCTATCTCCTCAACTCTAAGATGGGGCTGCCAGCCCCATCTTGTTAGGGCCAGAAGGACGAGTATGTAACTGGGATGCATAGAATGTGATGATGATGACCACTGTGAACCAATGCTTCAGTTGACCAGGAAGGCGTCCATCATGGTCCAGTAGTAAAGGACACATGGCCCAGAGGGCGCAGAAGGTTCCAGCAGGGACAGTTCCATCTCTGTCCTCATCTTGCCTCTGCTCCACGCCCCAGCCCACCTCTTCCCTCCTGCCTTCCCTAGGGTTACTGCAGGAGGTTTTACTGGATGGATGGCAGTTCCTGGAATTTTGCATACTGGGCTCCTGGCCAGCCTTGGGCCGGTAGGGGCAGTTGTGTGGCCCTGAGTACCCAAGGTGAGGGGGCTTGGGACAAACCACAGGATAGGCGTGGGAGGTGGAAGGTGCCCCATGGAGGAGGTGGTAAGAAGAGTCACTTTCCCTGAGGGAAAGACCTCCTGGATTTTAGACTCCTTCACTGAGGAGTGGGGTAGGGAGTCAGTGGTGAAGGAAAGACCCCCTGGGGGCTGAGCCAGAGTTGGCAAGGGGCTGAAGTCCTTTCCTGTTCTGCCTTCACAGGTGGTCGCTGGTGCCAAACATACTGCGGCACTCACCTTCCTTTCATCTGTTCCTACTGAGCTGGCCCGCCAGGAGCTCAGAGGCGCCACCTCCTGGCCGCTGCCTCCCCATGCCTGTCTGCTGCCACTCTTTCCACATCCCTTAGCATAAAATTGTTTTCCTGAAACTGATTTCATTCTCCTCTGATTATTGATCCACTCTGGTTAGTCTTGCCCTCCCCTCCCAACCCCACTGCCTCGCATACAAGGGGCCAGAAGCTATCATTCCTTTAGGAGAACTCGGGTGGTTGGGTGGAGTCTATGGGGCCTTCCAGAGACAGAGGGATGGGCTCAGGACAGCCAGTGACACCCATTGAACACCCAATTACTGGGACCTGCGTAACCTACCCGCGTCTCTTGGACCTTTCAAGGTGCTAGGTGGACTCCCAATGGCCTGTGTCTGCATCTCGGTACCCAAGGTGACTTTCTTACTCCCAGAACTATGGCTGGTTTGAAGTGCCAGGAAATTAATACTCCCTTGGCAAAGTCCACAACTCTCAGGAGTGAGTGCATAAGTACCCCAGTCCCTTGCTCCTCAGGCGGAATAAATATTAGGCATGTATTGGTCACTGTTTCTCAGGTTTTCCCAGTGGGGCTAACCTCCTGGGTAGTGCAATGGTTAATGCACTCGGCTGCTAATGGAAAGGTTGGCAGTTCGAGTCCACCCAGAGGCATCTTGGAAGAAATGCCTGGTGATCTACTTCTAAAAAATCAGCCATCTAAAACTCTATGGAAGCACAGTTTTACTCTGACCCACTTGGGGTCACCATGAGATGGAATTGACTCAATGACAAAGGGGGTTTTACTGGTTTTAACCACTGTGGTAGCTGACTTCATAATACACCTTTTGTTGCCTGCCTTCCCTTCCCCATATCAATTCTCTCCTTCCTGCCCAGTGTCCTGTGCACCTCCCAGATAAATTACTTCCACTTGAATCCTTGTCTCGGGGTCTGCTTCTGGAAACCCAATAGAAGACAACCTGCTGTGTGTCAGACTCTATATAAGGCCTGGGAATATGACAAGACACAGTCCGCTTGCTATTTAGGAACATAGTTGTTTATAATGTAAGAACCATAACATCTACTAATTGTTACCATTTATTGAACACCCACAAATACCCCCTGTTGTGGTAGGTACCTTACATAGATGACCTTGTGGGATCAATAATTATCATCCCTATTCTTCATAACCAGGATGAGAGAGGTTATGACCTGTTATAAGACTTACCCAGGTTGAAAGAAGGCCAATGATGGGATTTGACTCTATCTGCTCCAGGGCATGTTCCTTTAACTATGTGGTCCTATGACTGGGAGGGTTGGCTGCTCTCCCCTCCCCAACATGATCATAGGTGGATGGAGCACAGTGGGAAGCAAGATAGGCTCCCTGAATCTTGGGTTCAGCTTGGGGCACAGGACCCCAACACAACTGGGGATAAGGGAGTCCCAATCAGAGGTGAGGAAGGAAGGCATTCTGAACCCTTATATTCGGGATGTGAGCAGAAAGTAAAGAGTCAATGCCCTGAAGCCCCTTTCCTCCAAACCGAAGAACCAAACCCATTGCCATCAAGTTGATTCCAACTCATAGCAACCCTATAGGACAGAGTAGAACTGCCCCATAAGGTTTCCAAGGAGTGGCTAGTGGATTCGAACTGCCGACCTTTTAGCTAGCAACTGAGCTCTTAACTGCTGCGCCACCAGGGCTCCCCCTTTCCTCCAGGATTCCTGAAATTCATAGAATTTCAGATGGGACTGGAGTCTTAGAGAAAGGTACATCAAGAGCTTTAATGTTTGGAGTGTGGCCCAGAGAGGGGAAGCTACATGCCCAAGGTCACACAGTAAGTTGAGAAAGAGATAGAAATCAAACTTAGGTCCATTGCAACTGCTGCTCCATGATATTGTTGATTTCAAAGATAGTGAAATTCTGAAATGCGTGTTTCAAGTCTGGCCTTGTGTTGGGCGCTGTGGAGGATGCGGCTGGAGTACAACTTTTGCTTCTGCCCTCATGGTCCTTACATTCTGATGTGGGAAGGTGTTGCCTCCCCTTATTGCAAGATTAGTAATAAAAATAACAGTATCTCCCATTTATTTAGTATTACCAGGTGCCAGGCTTTGTGCTAAGTGCTTGGTGGACATTGTCTTGTCCCTCATAAATCTTTTCTGTTGTGTGTGTGACAGAGGTGTGATGTTTTCCTTCAGTCCATGGAGATCCCCTTTGGGGAAGTGATGCTAAGGAGGGAGCACCAAGGGGGCTTCTAGGCTCCTGGTAATATTTTATATCTCAACCTGGGGGTGGTTATGTCGGCACACTCGCTCTGTAAAAATCCATTGAGCTGTCCACTCTACAGTGCACATTATAGGATGCGTTTTAGACATCAACAAAAAATGTAAAAAAAAAAAAGTATGAAACAAAGGGATTGGCTTTACATCCCAAAATATAGATTTGTCTGCATTTTTCTTCTCCACAAGATATTAACTAAGCTCCGTGAAAATAAGATCATACCTTTACAGTTGAATCCCTGGAGTTCCTTGCATGGTGTAAAGCACACAGTAGGAGCTCATTCAATACTCACTGGTTATTTCTTGAAAAGAGTCACGGTTCTAGTTCTGGTTTCCTAATGAGGACCACCCCCAGCTCTATGTGCCTTGCCTGAGAACGAGACTGACAAGGGCCACCACGAATTCCATGTGCCAGGCTCTGTTCTGAGAGTTTTAAACTTGAGCTGATCTCATGTAATCCTCCCAATAAGGGAGACACAGAGGGGCTGACTCTGGAACTTGTGACTTCACTATACCTCACGTTACACTGCCTCTCAAAGCATTGGTGGTCTAGTGGTAGAATTCTCACCTTTCATGCGGGGGAATGGGTTCAATTCCCAGCCAATGCACCTCATGCACAGATACTACCTGTCAGTGGAGGCTTGCTTGTTGATATGATGCTGAATAGGTTTCAATGGAGCTTCCAGACTAAGATGAACTAGGAAGAAAGGCTTGGTGATCTGCTTCTGAAAATCAGTCAATGAAAACCCTAAAGATCACAATGGTTTGATCCACAACCCATCATGGGGATGGTGCAGGACTACACAGTGTTTTGTTCCATTGTGCATGGGGCTGCTATGAGTCGGGGGCTGACTCAACGGTAGCTAACAATGAAAACAACATGCTGCCTCTGGAGATGGTGAGGTACATTTTCTGCATGAATGGGGGCTGGATTGAAACTTGGGACAATATGCAGAGTTTGAAACCCATGTGAACATAAATGCAAACAGTAAGCCAGACACTTAGAGTTCCATGGATGCTGAAAAGTTTCCACGGGCACCACTGGCTAGACTTTCTGGAGGTAGCACATTGGGGCATATTAACGAAAGCAAAGATTTGGGAGTTGGTTGGACTTGGGTCAGACAGGCCACTTCTTACGAGTTCTGTGAACTTGGGAGAATTATTTAACCTCTCTTAGCTTTTGTAGTAAATATGTAGACTAGAGATGGTAATGCCTAGTTTCTAGATAATGAATATAAAATCCTCAATGAAGCATAAGTGTGTGGTCCATGGTGAACCTTCAAAGATGTCATTTCCAGTTTTATATTGGACAGGCATCATTGTGGTCATTTAAGGGGCTGATTGAAGGCATAAGGATGGCTGTGCCAAGGGATGGGTTTGTGTGCAAAGAAAACAGGGTGGACATGAGGGAGAGAATAGGCTGCAGGGAATGGAGGCCAGTGAGAGGGGATTGCAGGAAGGCAGCTATGGGGTAGATAAGGAGCCAGAAGACCTGGGTTTAGGCCTGTCTCCGAATTGCTGTATGATCTTGGGTAACTCCTTTAAACTCTGAGATGACATTTCTTCACCTGTAATATGAGGACATTCAAATGAGAAAACATGTTTAAAGCTTATCATGGTGCAGGCTCATGAGAGAGGCTGACCTTATCGGTCATCCCAACGGCCAAATGAAATGGCACCCCTGGCCTACGTCCCCTTCACCCCCTCCCCCATAAGGGCAGTCCGAAGCTTGAAATCAGGAGACCAGGTTTTGGGCCTTGGAATTGACCAATCTCCCCACAGTCACGTTGATAAGCTGAGGGTCTGGTCCGTTGGGTGGGGAGATAACGGTGATGGCCATTACACTCTGCAATCAGCCCAGAAGTGGCCTCTCAGATACTTCTCCATTTGAAGGCCCCTGGGGAGAGGAGAGGAGGGAAAGGAATCCAGACCTTCTCACCCTTTGGGCTACCTGTCCCTCATGCCCTGAGCTCTGGGGGGCTGGGCTGGAAGATGGAAACAAATACGCCCTGCCTGGCTAGAATGTTACAGAGTTGAGCCACCCACCCTGACAGGCCACTAGCTCTGGCAGAGAGATCCTGCCACGTCAGGGCTCAGTGCTTGTTTGGCCTTTCTCTGGACTGTAGTGAATCTGGCTGGACTTGGGTTGGTTAACCCTTTCATGCTCATGGGTACCTCTAGGGATGAAGTATTTTTCTGCCTCTGAAGGTTTATTGGGAAGCTGCAGCACCACTGATAGTGTGTGCTTCCGCAAGGCAGGGGCCTTTACGGCTGTTTGAAACCAAAGAAACAGGAATGTGCTATAAGTTACTGTTTTTACAGGGCATTGTACGAGGAGTCTGAATTTTTGGTAGGAAAATTAGAAAATTTTTATTTGTTACACATATGTACCAATAGACCCTGGTGGGGACTCTGGGGTATAATTAGTGGTACTTCATAAATACCACTAAACACTTTGGGTAGGCTTGTGTGAGGGGGGCAAGAAAAAAAAATCCATACTACCTACAAAAAATTCAGATACACTCAATGATTCAGCATGCTTCCATTAATGAAAAAACATGGTATCAACAAAAAATTCAGAGCAGAAAATAATTGGTTCATGAAAGGGTTAATTTTTTAAAAATTGTTGTTGAAAATATACACAGCAAAACACACACCAATTCAACAATTTCTACATGTACAATTCAGTGACATGGATTACATTCTTCAAGTTGTGCAACCATTCTCACCCTCCTTTTCTGAATTGTTTGTTCCCCATTGACATAAACTTGCTGCTCCCTAAGCTTCCTATCTGATGTTTTTAGTTTCTGTTGTCAGTCTGATCCCATACAGATATTTCTTTAAAAGAGCATGATATTCAAGGCAAACATTCTTCACTGAATAAGCTAACTTACTCTTTCATTTAAAGGAGACTTCAGGGGATATTTTTGGTTTAAGGTTTAAAGATTATCTCAGGGAAGCAGTTCTGGGGATTCATCCAGTCTCCATGGCTCCAGAAAGTTTGGATTCTATGATAATTTGGAATTCTGTTCTGCATTTTACCCCCTTTTTATCAGATACTCTCCTATAGAATCTCTGATCAAAATGTTCAGTAATGGTAGCCCAACAACATCCATTCCTCTGGTCTCATGGCAAAGGAGACATTTGTTCATGGAAGCAGGCATGCATTCCATTTCCTCCTCCTATTCCTGACTCTCCCTCTTCCTCTACTGCTCTAGGTGAATAAGGACCAATTGGTGTAACTTGGATGGCTGCTTGCAAGCTTATAAGACTCCAGGCACTACTCAACAAATTCGGAGGCAGAGCAAAAGCACTAAAAACTATATTAGGCCAATTACCTGGGATGTCCCATGAAACCATGACCCTAAACCTGGTTGGTTAAATTTTGATATTTTGTTCATCATGGATTTTTTTTGCATTAATTTCAATTTTTAAAAAATACTGCATTAAAGCATTATTTATCTTGAATACCGAATTTTTGGTGCCCCCTTAAATTTTGTGTCTGAGGCAAATGCCTCACTCACTGCACCCTAGGACTGGCCCTGGTGGTGGTAGAGAGTTGGTGGAAGATGGGGCTGGGGGGGTGGTTGGGAAAGATGGGCCACAGAATGTCTAAATGACTCTGCTTTTTATTCCAGCAAGTGCTTCCTTGCCAGTTCTGAAGATATGCCTTGACGATAGGGCAAAATGGCATGTTCTAGATCAGTGATCCTCAACTGGAGGCAATTTTGCCTCCCAGGGGCATCTGGCAATGTCTGGAGACATTTTTGATTGTCATGACTTGGGGGGGGGGTGCTACTGACATCAGTGGGCTGAGACCAGGATGCTGTTAAACATCCTACAACGCACAGGACAGCCCCCAACAACAAAGACTCATTTGACTCTAAATGTCAATAACGTTGAGGTTGAGAAGTCTTGATCTAGATCCACAGCACAGAGGAAAGAGCATAGGTTTGTTACTTGTTAAAGATGAGAAACAGAGAGGGAGGAAAGGGGGGAATAAGGGAGGGAGAGACAGAGACAAAGACAGAGAAGGTCTTGGAACCAAAAATACTTAGGAATCCCAGTTCCCCCATTCCTCTGTGACCTTGGCAAGTCACTTTCCCTCTCTGAGTCTCATTTTTCTCATGTGTGAAGTGGAGATAATCATACATTCCTTGTGGGGTTGAGGTGAAGGTGAGGATTCAGGAATGTGATGTATAATGCACCTGGTCCAGATAAGAGCTCAGAAGGGCTGAGGCTCCCTTCTGTCCCCTACCTCCTCCCCTCACTAACCTCCTACCTGCTCCCTGGGATTCTCCACTTCATTTCCTGGGATATGGACCAGTGGAAGGCTGCTCCTGGAATTAAGGGGTATTGCTTAGACAGGGGCACTTTAGAGGGCAATAGTAATAATTGTGCCTGGACAATAGGCAAAACACATGACGCTTTCTTGAGCAAACCAGGAGGCATGGGTCCCATATGGCAGCAAGTCCCAGGAGGCAGGTCTCTGCAGTCCCAGCAGAGAGCAGGGCGCTGGTTGAGGAAACTGAGCAAACTCCTTGTTATCAGCTCCACTGCCCCACTCCAGCCTGGGGCAATCATGCTGACCTCTTCCCACTTCCCCAAAAGCACAGTATAAGGGCTGTCTCTGGTGCCAAGCAGCCAGAGGCACTGAGTGAAGACCTCAGACTCTCAGAGAGGTGAGTACATCCAGGCTGCCCAGGGAAGAGAAATCGGGGTCTGGGAGGAAGGAGGACCCTTTATCACAAACGCCATAGGACCACAATGAATGAAAGAAAAGAGCCCTAACCTTGAGCAACCTGTTCCTCAGGGGCAGGGTCTGGGCTGAGTGCTTTCCTGGGAGCAGCGATGGAACTCTCAGGGAAAAGGGATGTTTGTACCTGAGCTGCCCCTTCCCCATGTCCTTTCCCTGATTCTCCAGCTCAGGGTCTGTTCATTGGAAGAGGAGGAGCAAGTTTGTCCTTTAATCAATCAATTAATTAAACATGTGTTGCATTTTCACTCTATACCAGGAACTGTGCTGGACACATAAGGACAAGCCCCAAGGAAGGAAGGTGGAACTGTGTCCTTCCCACAAGACCCAGTAGCTATGAAACGCCCCCTGATCCTGCCCCTTCTCTTGCTGGGGACAGTTTCTGCTCTTCATCTAAGTAAGTTCTTCCCTTCTCATCCCATCCATCCTTCTCTTTTCTTTCCTGCACCTTTTTTTTTTTCTGTGCCAGGGCCACAATCTCCCCTCTGAAGCTGACCTAGTTCATCCCTGGTAAAATTGCTCCTGAACTCAGAACTGTGACCTGAACTTTCTGTTCAGGGGCAGGTAATTTCTCTGGACTTCTCACAGATGCTTCCCCCAAAATACACACCTGTGGTGTCAGGCAGAAGCCAGGTTCTCATCCGTTTGTGGGTGTGAACCAAGAGATCTCGCCTCACCCAACACCGAGGGAGCCTTCCGGTCTTGATTCCATATGGCGTCTCCAGGACCTTAGGAGCCATCCATCGTCCTGGAACAAGCACGGACTTGACTTGGTGGCAGGTTACCTGTTAACTCTTGTTCCAGGGAATGATGCCCCCGAACCGAAGAGCCTAGAGACAGCAGCAGACCTGAGCCAGGATCTGGAAGGTTCAGGGGAGCAGGAGGGAGAGCTGGCCCTGGCTGAGAAGGTGATTCAGTCAGAGGGAGAGGAGGTAGAGTCTTTTTGGTATGAAGACGCCCTTGAGGATGAGGAAGCCATGGACTCGGACCCAGCTGCCTTAGACAAGGATTTGCAGTGCCCCAGAGAAGAGGACACAGTTCAAGTGCTGGGCAGCCCTGGGTGCAAGAGCTGCCACAACCTGTTGGTGCAGACCCCCAGGACATTTAGAACAGCCCAGGTAAGTGGCAAGGAGGTTACTGCGGAGTATCTAGGGGAGGAGAAGAAAGTAGATTGACTTTTGGTTGCCTATTCATTTAGATCAGTGTTTTCAAAGTCTAGCATGCATCAGAATCACCTGGAGGTCTTGTGAAAACACAGTTTGCTGAGCCCCGCCCCCACAAGTTCCAATCTAGCAGGTCTAGAGTGGGGCCTGAGAGTTTGCATTTATAACAAATTCCCAGGTGATGATGATATTATTTGTCTAGGGACTACACATTGAGAAACAATGATTCAGACAATAGGCTTTGGTGTTGGATATACTTGTGTTAAACTCTGGCTCTGCCTTTCATTGGCTGTGTTACCTGGGCAAGTCACTTCACCTTTTAGAGCTTCAGTACCTTAATTTGTAAAATGGGGATATACAGTACCAACCTGTTAGAGTTGTAGGAGGACGAAATGAGACAATATATGGAAAGCATTTGGAATAGTCCCTGGGTCATAGTAAACTCTCAATAAATGGTAGGTATCATTATTAGGAGAATTATTATTTCCTTCTGAGAAAGTCCTGACAACTGATAAAGGAACAAGAGGTGGGATTGAGGAGAGCCAGTAGGTCCCTGATTTCTAACCTGAAAAGGAAAGCAGATTCTCTCCTGGAGACTCAGGGACTTGAGACAAATGGGAGTGAATTCTCTACCCCATCTCTTTCCATAATATCCTTGTCTTTCTGCAGAATATCTGCAGGAGGTGCTACCGGGGCAATCTTGTCTCCATCCATAACTACAGCTCCAACTACCGCATCCACCTTATAACCAGGAGGATCAACCAGGACCGGGTTTGGATTGGAGGCATCATCAAGGGCTGGGTAAGTGAGGGGCCAACTCCTGGGTACAGGAAGTGCTTTCTGATTGCCTTAAGGGAGCACCTGCTGTTGCCAAGTCTCAGACCAGCTGCTGAAGTGTCCTTAGAGCAGCAGGCAGTGATGTGCTGAGACTGGTTTGTACTGGCTTGGGACTGTGGGCATCTCTTCCCAACTCCATGTTCAGGGACTTCATGCTTGTAGCTTGGAGTCAACCATGGAAATTGGCAATTACTACAAATCAGCACTCCATGCTCCCCATCCCCTGCCTTCTTAACTTCCTCCAAACCTGGTTGTTAAACATTTACTAACATACCACTGGAGTCAGGAAATAGGTTCCAGGCCCAACTTGGTCACTTACTAGTCGAATGATTTTCTAGAGCCTCAGTTTTCTCATCTCTAAAATGAGTACCTTCTCTCATGGTAGCTTTGGGATTGTAGCTGAACAAGGGCTCTTTCTCTTTGCTACTCAAAGTTTGATCCATGGACCAGCAGTATCAGCATCACTTGGTAGCTTGCTAGAAATGCAGAATCTTGGGCCCCACCCTAGACCTCCTGAATCAGAATCTGCATTTTAACAAGATCCCTGGTAAATCTGTATGCATAGTAAACTTCGAGATGCCTGCTCTGTGTGATAGCTGGGCATGATGGTTGCTCTTCCATTTCATTACCTACAAACCCTCAGGAATGGGACTCTAGGGTATCTGGCTCCTGGATGGATGGGCAATGAAAGGAGACAGCAGTGAGCGCTCCCTGGGGCCCTTAGATCTGTCTGTCTTCCTTGATACCTGTCCTCTGACCCAGTCTATCACTTCTCTAGTTCTTGTGCAGGAGGTTTCGCTGGACTGATGCGAGCCGCTGGAATTTCGCATACTGGGCCCGAGGGCAGCCTAGGAATGGGAGAGGCCGCTGTGTGGCCCTACGTACCAGAGGTGAGGGAGACTGGGCACCAGGACGAGGGGAAGAGTGGCAAGGAGGACTCTTACATACTATCCCTTTGAGCCGCCTGGACATACCTCCTCCAAACTCATACCTCCCTCCAAGTGGAGAACGAAACTCCTGCTTGGGAGGAGGGCTGAAATAGAGAGCGTCCTCAAAGCAAAGCCAGGTGATGGGGGGAGCCCTGTGGAGGGCTGGACGGGCCTCTCCATCCTCATGGGCAGGCTTGGACCCTCTTCTGATACGAGGGTGACAATGTGAGTGACTCATGTGACAGATTAGAGCTGAAGATGTGGATCTGAGATGTGTATGGGGGATGAAGGGAAGACGTGGGAATTATGGGCGGCTGACAGATTCGACGCTGGCTTTGAACAGTACATGTGGGCAACAGCACCGGTGCCAGATGTGAGGGAGTTTAGCAGAGTGGCTAAGACCATCCGCTGGAGTGAGACGGCCGTGATTCACATCCTAGCTCTGCCACTTGCTGGATGAGATATAGGCAAGTTACTTGCCTCCACGAAGCCTCAGTTTCCTCATCTGCGAAGTGGGGATGATGGCAGCACCTACCTCGTGGAGTCATTGTGAGGATTAATATGATAATCCATGTAAAGCACTTGGCATACTACCCAGCTCGTGGAAACTTTAGCTAGTAGGGGTATGTGGGAAATGTATGGGTGACAGATAACGACGATGGCGGGCGAAGAGGACAGATGAGGGGCCTGAGGAGGGAAGGGGTCGGGGCACAGGCCAGACCCAGGTCGGAAGCTGACAACCTGTGCTCTCTACTGCTAGGGGGCCGCTGGCAACGAACTCCATGCAAAAGGCATCTGCCCTTCGTCTGCTCCTTCTAAGCCAGTGGCAATGACACCCTCCCTCGCAGCCCCCTCTCTTCACGCGCTCCTGGCTGCCCCTGTCTCACCCTTGGCAGTGGACTCACCCCCCACCCTTTCCTGGTAATAAATCGGTACCTCTCACAGCATTCCCTGACTCACGTTTCTTCACTGTTCTTTGAGGGACCCCTCTCCAGAGGCTGGGCGTTGAGGAGAGTGAGCCGTGGTGGAGTCGGGCTGCCAAAGCAGGGTCAGTGGTGCCGAGCTGTATAGCTGCAGCGCCGCCTAGAGGGGGCGCGTAGACTAGGCAGTGGCCCCCGAAGACCCCTCTCAGCCCTGGCTCGGGGGAGTCCATCCCTCCCCTCCAGACGCTGGTGGAAGAGATCATCTCGTGGGGGGTATAGAACTGGCCCTTCTCTGTTAGGGTTCAGTACCGGGTACGGGGGTGGGAGCGACTTTCCAAAATGGAGTTGATGGAGCTGATTCATGATTGGGGTGGGGCAGTGAGATCCATCTGGGGGACGCCATGTGGAAGGGGGAGAAGACTTACTGACCATATAGCTCTTCATGGGGCCCAGGGAGAATGCCCAAGTAGTTCTGTGTGTGCATGTGTACATGTGTGTATGTGTGTCTGGTGTGTGCATGTTAGTCAATCTTTGTATACATGTGGATATACTTGTGTATATGTGAATCTGTATAGAGATATATAAATGTGTATAAATCTGGGTGAGTCAGTGTGTACTTGTGTGTGTTATAGACCCCTGTGTATTTACCGATATGCTTGTGTGTCTGTGTACATCTGTGAATGTGTATGTCTGTGTCAAGCTTTGCACCCTTATATGCCTGAATCTAAGGAGTGCCTGGGTGGCATAAACGGTTAAGTGCTCGACTACTAGCCGAAAGGTTGGCAGTTCAAACTCACCCAGAGGTGCCTCAGAAGATAGGCCTGGTGATCTGCTTCCAAAAGTTCTCAGCACTGAAAACCCTATGGAGCACAGTTCTACTTTTGCACACACGGGGTCACCATGAGTCGGAATTGACTTGATGAAAACTGACAACATGCCTGAACCTGTGTGTACATGCATCTGTTCATACCTCTGTGTTTTGACCAGTGTGTGGGGGTGTTATGGATTGAACTGTGTCCGCCAAAAATGTGTATCAACTTGGCTAGGCCAGGATTCCCAGTATTGTGTGTTTGTCCACTATTTTGTGATCTGATGTGATTATCCTACATGTTATAAATCCTAACCTCTCTGATATTAATGAGACAGGATTAGAGGCAGTTAATGAGGCAAGACTCAATCTACAGGCTTAGGTTGTATCTTGAGTCAATCTCTTTGAGATATAAAAGAGAGAATCAAACAGAGAAGAGAAGGAACCTCACACCACCAAGCAAGAAGAGCTCGGAGCAGAATGCGTCCTTTGGACCTGGGGTCCCTGTGCTGAGAAGCTCCTAGACTAGGAGAAGATTGATGACAAGAACCTTCCCCCAGAGCCGACAGAGACAGAAAGCCTTCCTCTGGAGCTGATGCCCTGAATTCAGATTTCTAGCCTCCTAAATGGTGAGAGAATAAATTTCTGTTTGTTAAAGCCATCCACCTGTGGTATTTCTGTTATAGCAGCACCAAATAACTAAGACGGGGACGTACGTGTCAGTGTGTGTCTGAGCATATGTCTGTACAGGTCTACGTGTGTGTACATATGTGTATCTGTACAGGCATTTGATGGGATTGGAATTTCAAGAACAGAAAGAACAGTCTGCCCAGATGTACTTTGTTTCTAAGGGTGCTGGAGTTGAGCGAACAGGACAGGACCAGGGAACCCGGGGGGGAAGTGGGTGGTGAAGAAATGGCATGGATGAGGCCCTTCAATGTGGGCAGGCCTCTGTCAACAGGAGAATGGGTCCTGGCATTGCAATGACCTTCACCAATGCTGCGTCTTGGAAGGGGACTTTCTGGGAGTCAGACCCCAGCCAGGTCCCTGCTCTTGCTGGTTAACACTGCAATGAGCCAATCCCTAATGCTTTGCTTCTGAAAGAACAGTGGAATCTGGCTGTGGGAGGGGATAGGCAGAAAGGGAAGCTCTCCATAGGCACCTCTTGGGACTGGTATTTCAGAGCAATGGCTGAAAAATGAGTCCCCTTTTATAACCTCCACTTAGCTCCTTACTAGGGAATTGTTTCTAGTCAAACCCAGTAGTCCAACATCCTCCCAGCCAACACCAGGGCTACAGATAGGGAGGAGAGGGCAGGGAGGCTCAGCCTCCTTCAGGCTGAAACTTGCTTGAAGCAGGCAAGAGTAGATAAGATGCTTGTCCTTCAAATCTCCCAGTCTGTTCCTGGGTTTAGAATTCACCATTATGTATTCATTCCTTTGGCCTGTGAATCTTGAACAGCCCTTGATTAGAAAGCAACTGCTTTTGGGAGAGCAAACTCCTGAGAGTGTGATCTATTAATACTCCAGGAGACTGGTTGGCAGCTTGCTGAGAACAAGGTTTTGTGAGAAGGAACACGGAAGAGAGAGGTGTGTGGAACTCGCGGTGGACATGGGTAGAGAAAAGAAGCCATTGAAAAGAAGGTAATGAAGCAGAGACAGTGCTGTGTTCACCATTTTCTCTTCCTTGGGATCCAGGAAGACTATATTTCCCAGCATTCCTTGCAATCAAGTTGGGCTATGCAGCATGCAACTGTGTTCTGATCAATGAAATATGGTTGGAAGTGATAGAAGCCAGTTTCAGGCTTGGCCTTCAAGTGATTCCCTGTGATCCTCCAGTTCTCAGTTTCCCTGCCCGTGATCTGGGAGTCCCTGTGTCTCATATGGCATAGCTACCAGATGGAGGGGGGCTGTCTGACCTGCTTTGCTATATTAAACCTCGAGAAGGAGTTGACTTGTTACTGCAGTAAAGGCCAGTCTATCTTAACTAATAGCACATATAGAAACAGAGGTGCCAACAAACGTCCTGATGTCCACAGACAGATACAGCATAGGGTGAAGATCCCAGGTTCCAGTATCATGAAGCTCTGTGTTCAAGTCCCAGTTCTACCTTCGAGTCTCTTGACCTTACTAAGCCTCAGTTTCTTCTCCCGTAAAATGAGGGTTGAATTAGACAATGCATGTACTGCCTTTAGCCCACTGCTCGGCTAAATCAATAAATGTTAGCTTTCACGGTGAGTAATCAAAGAAGCAGTGTAGTGTTAGGGATGAGCATGGGTTCCAGTTCTAATTTCCATGTATTGTAAACTTCCTGTTCTATCAAACAAGATAAATAACCAACACTGGCAGCTTACCAGGGTTGGTATGAGGGTCCATGTGACTGTGTTAGTAATTGTGCTGAGTAACCATGATGCAACAGAGACAAGCTAGCTGTTGTTAGTACCACTGATATTAAACCCAAGTCTACACAGAAGTGGGAAGTTAGTTCAGAGGTGTGGAAGACAACCTCGGGCTCACACACAAGAGCTCACACACTTGCTGGCAGGTTCAGGAGGACAAGCAGGGTTTAGGAAAGAAGGCCCCTCCAGGACACGGCTACCTCAATCTCCTCATCAGAGAACAGTCCTGTGGCCCAGCCATGGCCTGGCCTCCTGAGATCCAGAATCTCCAGGGATGCTCTGCGGGACTCCAAGTTTGGGACCGTGGCACTGCTTCACTGATGGCTCTGCTGGAGAAGGGTAGCCTGGAGCTCTGACTGAGGCTGATCCTGGGGAGATACTGTCCCACCACCCCGAGGATGGGGGCTCTGGGTGAAGGCTGAGTGAGGGAGGAGTGATGGGCAGTGTGTGGAGGGCTTACCCCTTCTCGTCGAGTGGGGATCATTGGGGTCGGGCCTCTGCAAGTGCCCACCTGCTGTCCCCCTCCCCCATTTCCCTGTACCTTCTGTTGTGGGGTCCACCCTTCATCCGCAGCGCAGCTCTGTTTCTGCTGAGACCTCACAATCACGTGGACACACAGACTTTCCAAGTTAAGCTAATGAAGTTAGCTTTATTAAGTTAATGAAGTTAAGCTAATGAAATGTAAATTTCAGAGTCATTCATGTGAGCCCATTCCAATATCTGATTTTTGGATAATTTTTCAATTGATACCTGACTTTGGATTATTTTTTTTAAATGCCTCCCGTATTGTGTATACCTCAGTCCTCAAAAACCTGGATCTGCTCTCAAGCTCTGCCTGGGTGAGTTTTCTGGGCCCCTCACTGCAGGGGAGCCCAGGAAGGGGGAGGGGGAATCTGGGAAAATGGAGGCAGGGCTGTTCTGGATGCTTCTGTTTTGGCCTCCTTCCCTGAGAGAGAGGACCCCTGGGTTCTAGCTATGTGACACTGGACAAGCGGTTTCCCCTCTCTGGCTTCAGTTTGCTCTTCTGTCAACAAGAGGGTTGGACAAGGTTTTCGTGTCCCACTTAGCTCCTAACATTGTAAGACTGGCCACCTTATCAGGACCCTGTGGTCCTCCTGTTTCGTTCTAAAGTTGGGACCCTCCAAGTCAGAGATGGGACCCCACACTGCTGTCTAATGGGTCCCCCTCAGGTGGGGTCTGAGCTCCTGGGGAAAGCATGGAGCTACTCTCCCTTAAGCTGGACTTACTCACGGTCGGGGTGGACTCAGTCGTGATCAGACAGGACTCGGTCGTGGTCAGGGTGGACTCAGTCATGGT